ACTAGCCATGAAGTAACGGAATGCAGGGTATTCTCTTCGCCCTCTCATCACCAACATCATGGATTTGTTTTAGGCATCCTTCCGGGAATCGACATCCAAAAGTTCAAGAAGAGTTTTCAGACATTGTTGTTGTTTTCATCCTTCTCAATCATACATCCAAGTCTTCAATCTCCTTCTCTCTTCTTTTGTTTTCCCCTAGATTTTCTTTTCTTTTGCGAGAAGTTTGATCAACTCTTCTGAAACTTTGAAGATCTAAAGACACCCCCCCCCCCCAATAATTTTGTTTGCTTGCCAGAAAATTTCAAGCTGAGTTGTCAGCAGATGTTGCATGACATCCCCACTTCACAACACTTCATAATGGTTTAGTATAAATGCCCCATCCCCGTCTTTCTCTTTCCCTCTCCATTACAACACAGTTATCCACAATACACCTTCATATTTTTATAACAATATTCTTAAAGGTAAAGACCAGTATTGGAAACGCCCCAATTTCAAAAAATGAAATGGAAGCTCTTATAACTAATCATGTGAAAGAATATGTTTTGAATATTACATGACGATAAAAATTTTGATGGGAAACCGCCTACTAATTGATATATTTGGTAAATTAGTATATCTTTATACTGTTGAGAGATACAAATGCACGTGTCGCGCACGTGTGTGTAGTCCCACATACATCTTTCTGTGTACAGTGCTTCTAACTTTATGAAGACTTGGCCAAATTTCTTATAATTTTGATGATTCCAGAACCTTGCAGTACATCTATGCTAGATGATCAACCTTTTCTGATCGATTTCACAACGTTTCTTTCACTATGCAATTGCATGACCATAACTGGTCTTTAGCTTTAATTATTTTAAATTTGTACCAAACTTCATGAACGTATCGTTGGCTTTATCTTTCATCTAAGTTTCATTTCACTTTTCATACTTCAATTAGGTTCTCCTCAAAAATGAAGCTGGGATGAAGCACTTGATAGCCATTTTATTTTCAATTAACTGGGACAACGAACTATTGAATTGAAGCCATGAATCACGTTTCACTGGCCGGGGATGAAAAATGCGCAGAGTAACAATGAAATATTGATTTTCAAGGAGGAACTACTCCACTTTCTTTTCATTCAAATATGAATTGTCATTTTATTGGATCTTAAAGAAAGCCACTATTGATTTGGGAAAGCAAATAGAGCAACAACAAAAAATCAAATAAATTACAAATAGTTACTCATTAACTTGTACTTTGAGATGGTAAGGAAATTTATTGAAAGGCCAGATTCTCTGAACAAAACCAATTAAAATACAAAATTACAAGTGATCTATATAGTTAGTTCATTGACTAGCAGCAGTTTTTGATCTGCTTTTAAATTGTGTAATATATGTTTACGAAATATCATCTGGTACTTGGCTTTCTGCTTAGGGAGGGAAACTTATAAAAGTAAGACAACACATTTAAAACTGATCAACCTGTTTAGTTATCACATTTTTTTGGGAGGGGGGGGGGGTTCCAAAATTATTTCTGATAACTGAAGAAAAGTCACACTGAATTAACAGATGCCCTTTTGATCAAAAATTGTTTGGGGCAATGGGGGTAGGTATAACTAACTTGTGTGAGGTATACTGAAGGGAGGCCAGCCAGAATGTTTTTTTTTTTTTTTTGGGGGGGGGGGGGGGGGTAGCATAAGCCCTCTTGATCCCTAATGCCTTAAAAGATACCATGAAAAGAAAAACATTTAATCATTTTCAGCCCACACACTAAAAATACAACATTTAACTTGTATTTCCTCATTCGTGAAAAGGGAAACAAAGTCTGCAACGCCAAAATCTACAATGAGTTTCTCCTTAAAGTATAAATACTCTAGAACCTGGAGACTTGGGGGAGTTCTGAGACAAGAATTCCAAGTTCAGACAATGTGAGTCAAGACCTGATTCTCTACAGATCAGACATAGATTAGAAAACAAATACCATCCTAGATACACAATCATCATAACCTTCAAATCCAGAGGAAATGTTACAATCTTTGAGTCATCATGCCTTACTTCTTCGATCCAAGAAAGGGGGAGTTGAAGAAAAGAATTAAAATTGTTTGGAATTCTGAGAGTTTTTACAGGTCCTCGATGGCGGAAGTGTTGCCAATTTTGTGTTAGTCCACCGCTTCCTTCCTGTATTAGTCATTAAGGTTTCCGTTCAGATGCAGGAGTGAAAAATACTTTAAGTTAGTCAAGATTATAAACACCTTCTGCTCTTGTACTTTTATCCTCTTTCTATAAATCATGAGCTGCATGTATAAACTTCCTTTTGATTATTCTTCTAGAGAAATTACAAATGTATATATGCATTAATTTCATTTCAATTTTTCTTCCCCCCACTCTCCCCCCCCCTCTTTTATTGCAAATGGATGGAAAAGTGAAAACAAGTATTAATTTTGGAGAGACGATATTGCATGGTCGGAGAAGTCCTAAACCAAGGTGAATCTAATTAAGGTGAGGTGATGGGTGATTTTCCAATCAATTGCCTAGATCTATCTCTGTGTTACAAGAAAGAAGTTCTAGATGGAAAATGTATCAGGATGGGTGCATGAACATCATTTTCTTTCCTCCCGGCACCATTGTGAGGGTCCAGGCATCTAGGTTGGACTGGGCACTGGGCATGAAGGAGGGGGGGGGGGGCACCAATATTGCAAGAGGGATGAAATGCGCATTAACATGGCTGTTGAATAGGAGGAGGACCGTGTGGGAGCGATCTATTGCCTTTTGACATTCTTGCTCCATCCTCTTCATTTCTTTCTTCTTTTGCCATGCCACCATCCCCTAAAAAAGGGCATCAAATAGGGGGAGGATGTGGGAGGGGTGCTCATTTTCACCTTTACATCTTGCTTTTACCATCGCCCAAATTTCTCTCTGTATTTTTTATTTTTTACTTATTTATTTCATTTATTTATTTATTTATTTATTTATTTATTTATTTATTTATTTATTTATTTATTTATTTATTTATTTATTTATTTATTTATTTATTTATTTATTTATTTATTTATTTATTTATTTTTATTTTTATTTATTTATTTATTTATTTATTTATTTAATTGTTTTTTTTGTTTTTTTTGGGGGGGTCACCTTCCCCTTCCATAGCTATGGCACTGTTCCCTCCCATCACATTAATTTCTTCTCTAAACCATAATTCCCTCTCCTGCTTTTCTTCTTTATTCATCATTCATTCTTCCCTCCAACACTTTATATCTTCTGCAAACAATGCTTCTAATCTTCTTCCTTCTTGTTATCCTCTCCTCCCTTAATTCATTCATTTTCTCTCCCATCACATTACTATTTTCTTGTATCTTTCCCTTTATCTCAACCAACCTCTTTCTTTTCTGAATTATTCATTAACTTTCTTTTTGTCTCTAAACCATGTCACCCTTCCTTCCTTCCTCTCATCCTCTCTCCTTCCTTTTTTCTTTGTTCATCATTGATTCTTCTCACCTATCACTTTCCCATCTTTTCTACACCATGTCTTCAATTCTCCTTCCTTCCTCCCTCCTATTTTCTCTTCTTGATTCTTCCCTCCATCACCTTCATGTCTTCTCTAAACCATGTCATCCTTCCTTCCTGCTCTTAATTCAATGTTGATTCAATCTCTAGCATTTCATTGTCTGCCAATTGACAGACATTTTGCACCTTGTTCCGAGCTTAAACATTAGATCCATCTTCCGGACCAAATTAAATGTTTCCTCGCCAAAACGAGGGTGAGTAAGCGACAAAGTCTACAGCTTTCGGCTAATTTTGACTTGTGACTGATTCAGAAATGATAAAATGAAATTACTAGGGTAGAATAAACAGCTTAATCAACTTATTTGGTGTCACTCGAGTGTTTGTTTCACAACTACAACAGACCAAATAGGATAATGTTATCACACTTAAATTTTTGATAAAAGAAGATCTATTGAGAGGTAAAATGCAATTAAAAGCTCATTTCCCCCCTCTTCATATTTTATGAGCTAATGATTAATCAATTCATGTATAATGAAAGCATGTTTTGAGAAGACTAAAATGGTTAATAGTCTACTTCAAAATGAGAAAAGAATGAGATAATGAGAGTTGAACAGAAAAATAGCTCAGTAAAAACATCTCTCTGATAAGACAGGGGAAACAGAGAGAGAGAGAGAGAGAGAGAGAGAGAGAGAGAGAGAACATGAAAGGGGATGTAAAAGAGATAGAGAAAGAGGAATGAAATGGATGGGTAGGAATACAGGATAGAAAGGAATACAGGGGCAGAAATAAAGGGATCATAGAGAAAACAGAGAAGGTAGGGATAGAAAAGGAGGAAGAATGGGATAGACAGAAAAGAGAAAGAAAAGACCGAGAAAATGGATGTAGATTAAATGGAAGAAAGAGATAAAAGGATGAAATGAAATGGAATGGAGATTTAAGAGGGAAAAGAAAGGAGATAGAAATAAAATGAAAAGGGTAAAGAAGAAAGAAGAGAAAGGAAATAATAAAGATAGAAGAGAAATTTATAGAAAGAGGGCATGAGGAGTAACGAAAAGAAAGAGATAGCAAGAAAAGATACAGAGAGAGGAGGAATAGAAGAAAAAGGGGAGAGAGAGAGAGAAAGAGAGATAGATAGAGAGAGTGGGACAGATAAAAAGAGATAAGGGAGAGAGACACAGAGATAGAGAGAGAAAAGGGGATTGGGAGAGAAAGGGATTGGAAGGGAGAGGGTAGGAGAGAGAGAGATAAAAGGGGAGAGAGAGAGAGAGAGAGAGAGAGAGAGAGAAAAAAGGGGAGATAGAGAGAAATAGAGAAGGGGAGAAATAGAGAAGGGGAGTGAGAGAGAGAGAGAGAGAGAGAGAGAGAGAGAGAAAAAAGGGGAGATAGAGAGAAATAGAGAAGGGGAGAAATAGAAAAGGGAGAGAGAGAGATAGAAAAGGGAGAGAGAGAGAGAGGGGGGGGGGTACAGTGAGTAAATTAGAGCTTTGAGAATGACTCGTTAGACTGTTCTTTTACCTGATTGCGTAATTGCATTATTCTTGTAGAAGTTGAGTTTGTTTTGTAGAGCTTGCCTTGAGGCCTGATCTAAATTGATGAAATCCTTCCTCCCCTCGTTACTTTCCTCCCGTCTCATCTCTTCACCTGCTAAACAACAAAAACAAGAGACAAAAACATTTTAAAGAATATCTATTTAGGTCACGATATAGTTTTATCTGCAACGGTTATTTGAGCAAAAACGTTTTTATTGTGAATTTTCCTTCTCTCAATGGATTTTCATCTCTTCACCCATTTAATAACAAAAACAAGAGACAAAAACATTATAAAGACTATTTATTTAGGTCATGATATACTTATATTTGCAATGGTTATTTGAGCAAAAACAAATTTGATTGGGAATTTCCCTGTCTCTCAATGGATTTTTTTTTCTGAGGTAGGAAATTTATGGTCAATACGAAATGATGTAGTGAAAAGAAAAAATCTTATCAGGGTGTTTGGACTGGTTTGAAAGTACCGCATTCATGTAATTTTTACTAATGCCCGAACAAAATGATGTGTATTATTTGTTTTAAAAAGAGTATGTTTTATTTGTTTTATAAAATGATGTTTCATAAAATGACGTTTCATAACATGATTTTAGATTTTACTAATTACTGGTCATTAGCATTTGATAATGAACGGTCATTATCAAAATTATGTGTTAGGCAAAATAAATATCCGGTCACGTGTATGCTCTCAACCAATCTTTTGATCAGGATCCACGTCATGATCTCATATAATTTAATGCAGAATAAACAACTTTTTGGCACTGAACAGACGATATTGAAGATTTCACTACAAATGATATCAATACTTTGCAAGATTTCACTTAATATGTTAATGATGTTTACGAGCTACAAGTGAGCTGGAGTAACAATACTCAGCAAATCAACTTTTCCCCCTCCGAATCCCAGTATCTGGGTCAAAATGACCAAGGGCTGTGGGTCAAAGGGGTCAAGGGTTAAATATATACAGGTCAACAGTCCATAGGGTATTACTAGCCAATGTATCTGGGGCAGTGGTCTACCTTTGCATCAGCAAATCGCCCTGGTTTCAAAATTCAACGCAGAACTAGTTTTCCCCCTCTATATATTAATGTTTTTGACACAACAGGGCAACTTGCGGAAGCAACAAAAAAACAGCTTGAGATCATGCCATGTTCAGAGCCAGAAAAGCATTAAATCTGTGTAAAAGAATATGGGTTAACGTCCTTCAGGCTGTCAGTAAATGTTTTATCGTCTGAGCACTCACTACCCATAGTCATAAAAAGATTATAACATCTCTAATTCTATACACCATGCAGACAGCCATTATAAACTAAAAATACAATTTGTTGATCGTCTGCATTTGATTCATATGATTAATTTATTGTGTATTTTGACATATATGACTAGAATTACCAGCTAACATCAGACATATAGTTTACTTTTGACCTTCAAGTGAATCATTCATGTCTTCTGTCATTAACTCAAATGCTAAAATAGTGTTTTTTGTAGAAAAAAAAATAGATCCCATCTTGTTCTGCAAGTACATTTCCATGATAATATTAACAGCATGGAATGTCTGCTAAAGCACATTCAGTATAAATGTCTCCTCTCATAAAATGCTTCACATCAGACGAGATGATGAAGAGCGTATCCGGACACCTACCCCCTAGACATCCACCCCCAGTCAACTACCCCATAGGACAACTACCCCCCTAGGATAGTTTTCCGGGAGGTAGTTGTCCTAGAGGCCCGGCCCCCTCCACTCAGTGTTATTTAGGGTACGCATATGCTCGTACCCTCTTTTTGAAAGCACCCCCTATCTGAGGACTGCCAACATTTCCGAACCCCCCTTTCGCGGGCTTTTCCTGCCTTGGTGACCCCCCTAAATCATGAAAAATGCTCAATGTACCCCCCTAAATTTGGAATAATTTCTCAGGAGTCCAAAGAGATGAGAGAAAAAAAGAAAAACACCCCCTTTTTAAAGAAATCTCCGGGTGAAAAGTCAAATACACCCCTTTTTTTACAATTCTCGGGCCGGACTTTGTCGCACGAAAAGTACCCCTTTACCGGACATTTTGGCAACACGCATGCGGTCATTCCGACCTCTGAGTGGGGGGGGCCGGGCCTAGAGGATGGTCGTCGTAGGGGATAGTTGTCCGGGGGGTAGTTGTCCGGGGGGTAGTTGTCGTAGGGGGTAATGGTCCGGGGGTAGTTGTCCTAGGGGTAGGTGTCCTAGAACCAATGAAGAGAGATACTCTACATGACTGAAAATTCATCCGTTCGGAGCCAGAAGGGCGTTAAATCCGTGTTAAATCATAAGTTAATGCCCTTCTGGCTCCAAACAGATAAATTGCAAAAAGGGGGAGGGAATAGAACACAGACAACAAGAGAAAGAAAATTAGGAGAGGGGGGTACAAAAAGAAGAAGAGCTACAATTCCAATGTGAAACCATCATCATGCATCCTTAGTAAACTTTTATGAATGGAATTACGGAAATCAACATCAAATTGGTTCATATCTGCCTGAAATTACCAACTTCCATCTCATATTTTCAAACATTTCCATGTATGATGTAGGAAGAAGAAGTCCTCCCGGCGCTCTTCCTGGCCTACTTACCCTTGCACTTGAAACAAAAAGCATGCAAGGAAGTGAATACATATGTATCTAATTACGATCCCCCCATCAGGCTAATTAATGATGAAATAATGTTTTGTGTTCTCTGTCTTTCTGACATTTCTTGTGGTCTGTCTAGCAGACTTTTATTTAATTGAAGTCATCGTTTTTTTCTATCAGATGTTATTTTTAGCCCAAATAGTTTTGTCATGACGTCATCTTCGTGACTGCTTCTTTTCCAATGGAGTTCTCCTCCCACTGTCTACCATCTGTTTTGATGCGGTGTTCTTCCAGGAAGTTTTCCACTCAGAAGAATATTGTAGGCTCCATGGGAAATTGTGAACAGAAGTACCAACATATCTTAGTCTTTATTATTTTGTCTGTTAATCAACATGCATGTTTTGAGACAGTGGGAGGGAGAGAGAGAGAGAGAGAGAGAGAGAGAGAGAGAGAGAGAGAGAGAGAGAGAGAGAGAGAGAGAGTAACGGAATAAGATATAGACAAATGAAAGTACAGGAAATACATTTTTTTTAAAGGAGATTGTGTCAATATGAAATTAAGGGCTGAAACAGTATGCCCTAAATATTATAAGTTCATGAAGTTTCCATAATATGTGATGTTTAATGCTACAGACCAATTACCTTCTACAAAAAATTGCAATGAAGAGTTATATGAAGGGGGGGATCAAGTCTTTAGAATAAAAATGGTGGTAAGCCTTTATACAAAGCATACATTTCAAGCCTTGAAGAGGTATATCTGTCTTAATTTAGTAAGGCTTCAATCATTTCCTGTATCATCACTGATAACAATAATTCTGAAGGTTAACAACATCATTATCTTCAATCTCCATTCTCTCTTTAGTGCTAGGTGAATTACTCTTTGATTATGCATCCTATATGTTTTATATTCAGTCAGTGACATGGTCTTTCTGTAGTTAGGATAAAAATCTAGAATGTTTTTTATGACAACACTACAATATCAACATGTTTACCTGCCTTTAGTTTTCACTGTAATACACATTCTTAATATAATATGACGTCTAAATTTTGACCAGCTTGCTTTACTCCCTCGCAAAATGTATAAACCCAAATTGAAATTTGTCACCCCCTCCCTCTCCCCCTCCCCGAGCAGCATTCATGATTCATCTGTTCGGAGCCAGAAGGGCATTAACTCTGTGTAAGATAATACCAGTTAACATCCTTCTGGCTACAAACAGACAATTATGTCATATGTCAATCATTTTTTACGAGTATTCGTGGGGATTAAAAGGCATACCCAAACGGAAACTAATATTATCATGCCTAATTAATTACTTCACATTCTTACCTTATTTCAAAGTCAAGGTTAAAATGAACACTTGCTAGTTTTACGCTTAACCTATTTTCAGCTTGTCCTAATTAATTGTCGGCTTAAACTAGGTTTAAATAAAGGGATTTATTAATCCACTAATCCACTTCCACTATACCATAGCCTTGTCGTACAAGAAATTTGCCTCATACAGGAAATTAGAAATAAAATCCTCACAAGCGTCTCAAAAATAATGCTTGTGAGTGAGGTACATTTCCAAAATAGTTGGAACCAAGCTTTGTCACTGCAGAGTAAATGGTAGTCTTACAAAAATATTTTTGACTACCGGTAGTCTTGAAGTTCATTTTTCTCTCCCATTCTTTAAGTTTTTGTACAAAAAGAAACATGAAGGATCAAAAAGGAAGTGAGAAAAAAGATTTAAAATAAACAAATAATTGTTAAATTGAATGAAACTGATAATTTGGGAGTGGCAACAAGACTGCAGTACGTTTTTCTTCAAAAACGGATATTGAAGACGCCCAGTACAGGAAACAAGAAAAGAAAGACCAAATAAAGAAAATAAACAAATTGTCTAATTGAATGAAACTTGTATGTAATTGGGGAGTGGCAATTCTATTAAAGAATACTCTTTGTTTCCACTTCCTTTGCATGTACATCCACCCTTCCTTTGATTCAAGCAGTGAAACTTTACGATTTTGTGATTCAGGGGAGGTTACGAATCGACTTTCCTCATCATCGTGTAATATATGTTTTGTTTTTTTGAAGAAAGTTTGAGTACTTAGCAATCAGCACCAAATTTCATCACAAGAAGTGTACCAAACAATTTCTTTGATGAATGACAGAAAATTAATTAAAGTTTGGGCAAAATAGATGATGACAAAACCATTCCAAAGGCCACATTTTTAATGACAAGAATAATTAATTCATTAACCATCTCAAAACATTCTTATAATTTCAAGTGTAAATTTACATAACAAATTAGGCAAACACTTTGTCTTCTTCAATGTAGATTCATAAAGGTGTTGCATCAAGTATAAGTTGGAGGGGTATGAAACCATATATTTTTTCTTCATATAGAGTAAAAAATACTACTTTAAAACCAGCAACATTTGTGAATCTTACAAGTGATCAAGATATCTGAAAGCTCATGCAAAAAACAAACAAAAATCACAAAATGTTATAATCTCCCTTTAGTATTCATCTGATATC